TATATATATATGAGAGTTCTAGGAAACGGAGAACGATATCCCTGACGCTAAAGTCTTCTTAAACTTTATCGAGGGCAGTATGATAATATAGCAACCATGCGTTATTTATTGTGATTACTAGAATTATGCAATATTGTAAATGTAGATTTTTTTACACACCCACCGACATAGTTTATACCACTAAGAAGAGAGGCTGCTTCGACTCTACCTGTGAGGGTCAACTCGGATTGACAGTGATTCTACGTACCAAAAGACACTACGAGATACTCGATAAGAATTTTATTCTCTCCATACGAAGATCGAACTCAAGTTGAAAGCATGTTTTTCTATTAATAGTAATGAATTCCAAGCTCTGCAAAATGGTATGATTGAATTTAAAGAGGGTGGCAAAAAGGAGAATTTTATTAAGGAAACCATGGAAGAATCCCCCCCTCCCGAAAAAGCGAGCAAGCAAGCAAAAAATCGAACAAAAACAAACAAACAAACAAACAAACGTACAAAATGTAAGAAAGCGAATAAAAAATGGATAATCCAGGATTGAATTTGGCTTGGTTTCTGAAAAAAGTTTACCCGAACCACTGTTTTCATCCTTACAATGCTAATACAATTAATATGCTTGTCAAAGGATACTGAAGCACTAACAGTAACAGATCATTGATGTCTGTGATGTACAGCGGTTAGGCGTTTCCGTGTCGCACGAAAAGGACCATGTTCCCATGTGGAGCAATTTCTATTGAGTATTGAGCATCCTAGTCTTTCTACTGGAAGTTTTAACCTTCCCGGCGCGGTTAGCCCCGACAGGCAGGGTCGAGGCTGCCTCCAAAATGATCTAAATTGTGTCGCTGGGGGAGTAAAAACACCAATGTTCACAAAAAGACTTATAGGGAATTTATGATTCATTTATAACTCAAAGGCTTATGACACAGTAAAACACGACGAACTATTAAAAACTCAGAAGGCTTAGACATAGATGGAAGCCGAATTAAAGATAAATGTCAAGAATTTTCACTGGGGTCAAAATGCTGTTGTGTGAATTGAGAAAGAGTACAGCGGTCAGTGCGCTCGTCTCCGAAGTGGGAAGTCCGGGTGCGAGCCTCGGTTCGGACACGGATATTTTTTAGCCCCCTCCTGTCCACCCAGCTGTAATGGGTACCTGACTTCGAGTTGGGGAAGTAAAGGCGGCGTGAAAAGGAACTGGCCACCCTACCACAATCAAAGGCCCAGGAAATTGTCTCACTAACAAGGCATTCCCCAATGCCCGTATAGGAAGCGAGAACAATTTTACTTTTTTCAGCGAATATAAATACGTATTTTAAAAAAGGAGTTCGGAGTTATAGGAAGGCTGTTCTTTATCCCCACCCCTCTTTACCATATACAGTAAAGCTATTCTTACAAACATGAAAGAAAGACCAGGTCCCAAAGTGAACCAAAAAACAAACAAACCCCAAACTATTATAAACATAAGGAATTCCGATGACATAGTTTTAATTACAGATTAAAAGGAGAACCTTGAACAGCTTCCAGATACTGTTGCGACGGAAAGGGAACGTAAGGGGTTATCATAAGTAAATACGAAAAGATCAAATAAATTCAACAGTTCAGATGAACTACGGAAATACAATGTATAAAGGAGACTTGCAACAGATAAGGATCTTTTTAATGAAACGAGTCCAATCCAGAAAAAAATGAAACATTATTTCATCGGCAAAGCGTTCAGTGTGCTAAGATGAAAAAGCAAAACTTTTCAAGAGAAAGAAAACGTGTTTCATTCTTTTAATACCTCAATTGCACATACTGTTATATCTACTTGCTTTTTTTTCTTCATTTAAAATTTGAATTCTTACAAAATATTTCTTGAGTACGGTACGTGCAACCGATTTTACAGATTTAGAAACTTCAATAAAAGCATTTTTAAAATGTTGGCTCAGTACACCTGAACAGCTGGCCGACGATATTTTATTGTTTTAAATATTATGTAGAGAGAAAAAATTCACATTCTGATAAAGCCTCACTGCTTGCTATATCTTCCTGTTTGTACATTCTGTCTTTCCATACATGTACTTTATATCTCTGTATGTAAACGATATCTTTTTCTATGTCATCTATATCACTATATAATTATAAGTATTATACATTTATAGCTTTCCCCATGTACTAGGTGGTCAAGGAAAAAGAGAATCCATTAAACTTCGGTAACCTTTCCACATATTTCAACGAAACTTTGAAGAAATAAAATTCATCCAGGGGGACTTTGTATTTGTGAGTATGAAATAAATTAACTACATGTACCATATTAAAAAATACAAAGTTTTAAAAATTTCAACCAAAATTGAGTGAAACGCAAAACTTTGCAACTTCTTTAAAATGAACCACACGTTTCTATTTCAAAGAGTTATTATTTCTGCACTGAAGAAGACATTCATACAAAACTTTT